GCTGGGCTCGCAGGCCAGGGCTGGGCTTCAGGACATACTCTCACACTTGTTAATATGGAACTGGGAGGGGTTTGGTTTGAAAGCAAGTTAATTCCGTTCTCAGGAGCGAGAACCTTTCCCTTTGTAAATGTTTTACGTCCGTGTAAAATGACAGATTGGGAAAATGTCTCCCCAGCCCAGGGAGTTTTTGAGGGAAGGGGAGGAGGTGTTTTTGAGCTAGGCCAGAAGAATGGGAGCAAACTTTGTGTTTATTAATCTTAGTGCAGTCTGGCAAAAGCCGCCAAATGGGATGACCACGTCTGGCTCCTGTGCAAAGATAAGACAGGGGACGGGTCCTGCTCCAAAGAATTTGGTCTGCGGCCTTGACACGGGAAATGTGTCTGTGCATAACCCTTGTGTTTCTCCTGGTAAGGAAGGAGAGCACCCCAGCACCGTGGCAGCCTGCGTGTTTGGCCCTGGAAACTGGGCAAACGCGCAGCAGATCCACTAGAACCAAAGGGGGAGAGTTTCACACTCTCGGAACAGAGAAAGGGCTCATAGAATTGGTAGCAAAGTACTAAAGGGAATTGGATTAATAAGATTTGTGTTAGTGTAGTTAGTGCTTGGGGTATGTTTTACACTACATGCAATCCTGCACATGCCAAAGCCACACGCCACCCTTCCCCGCTCTTAAAGTGCGGATGGGATCTTAGTTAATGGAAAGTCAGGAGTGCGGCGGTGGTGGGATTAGGTCCCCTGTTAGTGACTGTTGCTGTTTACGCTTTGGCGGCTGCTCGAGTCGAATCCAAAGGCTGCCAGGGTTACTTCACCTCTCGCTGGGTCGTACCTGGTCCATTTCTGTAAAGCACTCGGCGAAGCCCACGGAGAACCCGGTAATACGGAGATTGCGGGTGGTTGGTGATGCTGTTACTGCTAAGTGTCCTTGAATGTAACTTGTAAAACAGCCGCAGAGACAACTCCAGTGTGTGTGAAATGCTGCAGGCCGAGTCGCAGGGAAGTCACTGGGGCTGCCTGGCTGCTGTGGGGGGAAGCAGAAGGATTCGAGCTGTTTGCAGTGGTGGTTCGGGCTGGGGAGGGCCCAGGGCAGGTCCGTGCCCTCCCTTCGGGCTTCTCCGCGCTCGGCGCGTTGCAGCCGCCTGGACGGACGATGGGAATCTGGCCGGTGCGCGGAGCAGCTTTCCAAGTGCACTTTATGGTCTCTGCATAAGTTTCCAGTTCTGTGTCTAGGCGATACATTGCATATGTCCCAACCTCGCTCCCTTTGGAGTTTACATCATTTGTTTTTAAACTTCCAATATATTTTCCCTTCCTCTTCCAAAAGCTGTAAGGAATTAGCTGCTAACCTAAGCCAGGAGGGCAGTTCTGCTGCCGATAGAGCCGGTCTTGGCCCGCGCGCGGAGCCCGACCTGCAGCCTGCAGAGCAGCTCCTGTCTCCAGCTGCTAGAGAAGTAGTGCAGATGCCTTTTGCACTGCAGCGGGGCTTTGCATTTGCACTTTGCAATGCAAAAAGAAGCTTTGACATCCCAGCCAAACGGCTGCGAGTGAGCCCTTGGCCACCGCGCCTGCTCCCAGCAGGTCTTTATCTGGGGCTTCGGCTTTGCTCAGCCTTTCCAAAGGCTACAGGAGGCTGTTGCTCTTCCCAGGAGCCAGTCAGCTCCTGGTGATCCACTGAGGTTTGAGCCGAGTGGAGGGAATGTGACTGTTGACTCTGCTGTCGAGGCATCACGGTGACAGAACGTGACCAGATGAGTCACAGACCGTGTGCGTCACGTTGTCTCCCTCGCCTCTAGCTTCACTTTGGCACTTGTGCTTATCCAAAACGTGTTGTTCAGACAATCCCCCACCCCAGGCAGCTCCAGGAGGTGCCCAGCAGATCCGAGCGTCCTGTCTGTTGGGATCCCTTGGGTGCTCCCGAGCTCCCGGCCGGTGAGCTGGGCGGCAGCTCCTGCTCCCTGGCGTCCAGGGGCTGCAGAGCTGCTCTGCAGTCACACGTGGAGCTCAGAAATGGGAGCTGCCCGGAGCCCCGTGGGCAGAGAAGGTGGAAGGAGCGTTTCGGAAGCGCTCGGGGTGGGAACACGGGCTGTCTCGGGTAGCAGCGTCGTGGTCTACAGCGGGAGGTCATCGACTGTTGCTCTTGGTGACTCCTGAACTCAGGGTACCTGGAAAGGCAGAGGAAGGAGTATTTATTGCTTACTTGGGTACTGGGAAATCAGCCTCCCTGCGGGGGCCCAGCTCCCGGTTCCTCTTGGTTTTTCCCTGCTGTTGCACACAGAAATCCCTGCTGGGATCCCCGTGGCCCTTTGCAGCACCCAGGAGAGCTTTCCAGGACAGGGTTTCCCTGGAGCCTGGGGCATTTAGATCCTCTGGCCCTACGTTCCCTTGCTGCTGAGCCGCAAATCCCAGCCGTCCTTCTGCAGCAAGTCCCGCTCCGAGCGGGAGAAGGCGCCGAGAGAGGAGCTGGGGGCCGGGAGCTCCTGCTGGCATCTCTGGTGAGCAAGGACCTAAATCCCTCCTGTTCCCAGCAGAATCCCGGCTCCTGGGAGCCCGGCCTGCAGGACGCTCCGCTCCCGGGCTCCCCTGGAGCTCCACGGCCCCTCCGGAACCAGCCAGGCCCGGTCTGGGCTCGGGCGGTCCCGCCGAGGCCGTTTGGGCAGGCGCAGGGAGAGCGCTCGCTCCCTGGAAGCCGAGTTTTTTATATTTAATCCTCTATATTCTCCTCTTCGGGCAACTACATCTTGCAAAGGGGAGATTTAGTGTCCTGCTGAGTTAAACAAGGGAGATGCTGGTCTTTGCTTTGGAGATCCCAACACGTGGCCGGTGGTTCATTTTTAACGTTATCTCTTTGTCTACGGGGAAGGGAGGCATCATATAAAGGCTCAGGGGTGCTGGGAAGTAAAGCTATATATGCATAAAGACCGTTTCAGTTCTGTACACTATGAATTCAGTGGTGGATTAAAAAAAAAAGAATGTAAATATGCAATTAATGCAGAATTTTATGGATGGTCATAATTTAATATATTGCAAACTTTGTAAATACTTGAAAAAGCCTGTAAAGTGTGTAAATAAATGAGATTTGTATGTAAGAAGAATAAAAAAGTTTTTACTTTTTGCAATTCAACAGAAGTGTTAATGCACCCCTTCCCTTCCTTCTAATTTTTCATTGTTAAAGTGTTATTGGAGTTATTTTACCCTTGCTTGGGCACTTTTTCTAAGTGACAATATCCTTTTAAGAGAAAGTTGGAATCCTTTTGTTTGGATATGTCAAAAGAAACAAATGTTTTGCCAGTTCTAGCCTGTTTCCCTGCGCAGAGTTGATGCAACAGCTCTGCTTTTGTCCCTCCTTCCTTTCTAATAAGTCTCTTCCTTCATAATTAGCTTATTTCAGTCAAGCCCTGACGCAGGGTAGAAGACGGTGAGTTCTTCCAGAGTTCATAAAAAGCAGGGAAAGGAGAGGTCGTGTTGCCACCAGGGCTGTGCGTTGGCCTGACGGACACCAGCAAAGCCCCGTTGCAGACCCTCGAGTCGGGAGCAGAGGGGGCTCCGCTGCTCCTGCAGCTCCAACGCTCGGGCGTTACGGAGCCCCCGTCTGCCCCTCTGATCCCCCTCGGGTCCCGGTGCGGAGCGGCCGGCCCGAGCGCTGGAGCGGCCCCGGCTCCCCGGGCCTGCGCTGGCCGCGCTGGTTCTCGCCGGGGCCGCCGCATTCCTCGTGCACTTACCTAATGCCGAGGGTGGAGCCGGGCCCTGCGCCTCGTCCTGGCGCTTCGGCTCAGGCCGCGTGCCCTCGTCGAGGCTCCTCCAGGCCCGGTTTCCCTCCCGGAGAGGCCCCTTCTGCTCTGTTTGCAGTGTTTGGTGCTGTCTGAGCTCCTCAGAGCCTGGGTGGGAGGCTCTGATGCTTGGGGCCAAACTGGCTCCCCCCTTTTTTTTGGAGCTGGCTGCTCCATCTCTGCGCCCCGTTGCAGACACCAGTGCATGAACCGGGGTTTCTCAGTGCTGCCTTGCTCCTCGCGTCAGCCAGGCCATAGTGCAGGCGCTGGAGCCAGTGCTGGTGTTTGCCAGTTGTTTCTCCAGGTCTCCAGAGATGCAGCAGAGCTGTCGAAACGTCTGGTGCTGCAGGCAGGTTTGCCCTGACTCAGACTCCAGGCCTGCAGCTGACCTCAGCGATCAGTGGGAACCCGCTGGCTTGAGCAGATGAGTCGACGATGGCCCCTTGGGACATCCCGACTGGGCCCTGCTTGCAGAAATCCATGGACTGCTGCGAGCGCGACAGACCCTGGAGCTCGCTGCTTAGCGGAGGAGGAGGTTTGGGGGCAAGCAGGGCTACCAACTTGTCCAAAGCAAAAGGAAAACGCTCACAGAGCAGGACCTGGGGAGCAGGGAGGGGACGGAGCAGGCAGTGTGTGATTAACTTGGCTCCGCTAACGAAGCTGCCCACCCGCTGATCCTCCGGAACGGCCCCGCTCCCCAAAGGCAGCTCCTGGAGCGGGGCCGGCGCAGTTGCACAATCACAGATGGGGAGGCCGAGCCGCGGGCGGGAAGGTCTCTGCCGGGCGGTCTCCGAGGTAGTCGGGGCCGTGAGCGATTCGGGAGAGCCGATGCGGAGCCCTCCGTGTGTCCGGAGGGGCTGGCGCACGGCCAGGCCCTGCAGCATCGCTGGTTATTCCAGCCAGAGCCAAAGGGGGGTCCCTGTGTCCCTCGACTCCCTTCCTGGGGCAATGCTGGCTCTGTGTCCTGTTCTCCCTCTCCTGCTCTCCCTGTTCCTCCGGGCACAGGGAAGGGGATGCCCCGCGTCCCGGCAGGGTTGGAGGAGATCCAGGGATGCTGCCGCAGCATCCCGCAGCCTTTCCCCCCGCCGTGACCCACGCGCGGATGGAGGGGCAGATCCACGGTGGGCTCTGACTCCTGGCTGGGCAGTTACGGCACCGCAAACCGCTCGGCCACTGCGTCTCGTTGCCTCCTCGTGGAGGCTGCAGCGCAGGGAGGACCCTTGTGCACAACAGTGCTCTGTGTTCACTTGCCGGTTTCACAGGGATTATTATTATTATGGCTTTAAGAGAAGAGGGGCAGGAGGTAGAGAGACCCCCAAAACTGAAGGCTAAAGCAATTCCTTTGGGTCTGGAGCAGCAGACCCCAGATGGGGCTGGGATGGAGCCGTCCCTGCAGGGATAACGATGTGACGGGGGCTCCGTGGTGGGGAGGGGACCCTCGCTGAGCTGCTGCCGCTGCTCCGGCAGGGCTGCTCTGCGCGATGGGTGTGTTCCATGTGGCTCCGGGACCGCTCTCCTAAAGAGCTACGTTTCCTCCCTGGTCTTCAAGCTGTTGGGTGTTCCTTGCTTTTGGGAGGTGCTTTAAATCCGGCTGCCAGAGCCGTGGGCTGCTGAGAGCAGAAGCGGTGGCTGCGCGATGCTGAGCTCAGGGCTCTCTCCCGTTTTCCTGCTGTTTGCGGCACTGGAGCTCAGCTGGGCCCTCAGCGATGAAGAAAAGAAGATCATTGTGGACGGGCACAATAAATTCCGCTCCCAGGTCTCTCCCCCTGCTATGGATATGCTGAAGATGGTGAGTGGCTTTTTCTGCAGGGAAATGTCCATGGGTCTAGCCCAAGCTCTGTCTTGGTGCTAGGAGGGATTGGGGTGCACTTTATTTGCCTTTGCAGGTGAATGGTTATCTATAGGAGATGATGCCAAAGTAGAACCTGACTTGCAGGTTACTTTGGTTCCCCCTGGTGCATTGGCCTTGGCCATGAGGGATGTCCTGTTTTGCTGGGGGAAACTGAGGCACAGGCCTAGCATCACTTGTCACTGCAGTGGGATCCAAAGGAAGCCCTAAGGCAGGGCTGGTCTTTGTCTTGCCTGGCCCCTTGAGTTGATTAAAACGCCATTGCCCTGTTCATCTTACCCCTCGTGTGATTACTTTTTTGCAACATGCTTGGAGGGGAGCTCGTGTTGATCAGGGCTGGCTGGAGAACGTCGCCCTCTCAGTCACGGCGCCCTTGGAGGAGACCTCCCTGTCCGGCCCGCGGCTTGCAGAGACTGAGCTGCAAGTTTCTGAGTTGGTTGGTGGGAGCTTTCCTGACAAACAAAGCAAAAAACAGTAAAAAAGACAATGTTCAGGCAGAGCGAGTCTAGCAGGTGATTTATTCCAAAGCCAAAGGGAATGCCGCGAGGACCCTCCGCAGCGTTTCCCATGGAAACTCCCCAGGGCAAGGCATGCCAAGCTCGAAGGACAAGGGCTTGGGGCCAACGTCTTGGCAAAAGCAACCGTTTATGTGTCAAAAACCTGGGTCAGGCTCCTTACGCTGGGGACAGCCCTGAACAAGCGAGTGCTGCCCTGGCTAGACCTTTGGTGCCCTTGGAGATGCTCTGCTCCGCGGGAGCCGTGTCGGAGTTTAGTGGGATCTGCTTAAGCCCAGCAGACCCGCTGACAGCCCAGGGTGGAAGTGCCTTTCTGCAGCACGGCAGATGTGCAGCGTACAACAGCCCTGACAGTTTCTTGGTAGAGGTTTTCCATGAAAACGCCGTCCTTGCCGCCCTCCCGGGGCCGTGCGCTCGCTCCGGCTTCGCCTCTGCCTCCGCGCTCACCTGCGGCCGTGGCACCGTGCCCGGCTGAGGTCACCCTGGGCTTCTGTTTGGGCCATGGCTCTGGTTGCTGTGGAAATCGCTCAGCCCGTGGGGGATACACGGCCTAAAGCGACTTTTTTATTTAATGAGGCAAATCCTGCGAGTGCCCTGTTTTTGGTGCCAAAGGGAGCGGGATATGTGCTCCTTACACAAGGCTGGCAGATTCGTGCTGCTGCTTCACCCTGCCCTGGTCCGCAGGTCGAGGTTTGGTTTGTGCTGCAGTTGGCCAAGGAGCTCCCTTCATCCAAGGGATGTTCAGAGGGTGCTCAGGGACACCCACGTGTTGGTCTGGGACTGAATTTCCCTCCTGAATGCGGGAATCGTGGTGAGAAGGCCCAGGGGTTGGTCCCCATTTCTGTCACCCCAGGGAGGGAAAAGCAGACGTGTCCTTGGGGATGTCAGAGACCCACGGAGCTCAGCAGGGTCCTTCTTGGTTCACTGATGCTCAGCTCCTTTCAGAGCTGGGACGTGGAGCTGGAGGCCTTTGCTCAGGCGTATGCAGAGAAGTGCATCTGGGACCACAACAAGGAGAGGGGCCGGCGAGGAGAAAACCTCTTTGCCATGACCCCGACTCTGGACCTGGAATTCGCTGTGGAAGACTGGAACGGGGAGGAGAAGTTCTACAACTTGACAACTGCCATGTGTGCTCCCGGGCAGATGTGTGGCCACTACACCCAGGTACGGGGCTACTGGGGGCAGAGGGCCCAGGTCATAACAGGAGGGCTCTAGAAGAGTCAGATTTTTCCCAGAGCTTTTGCAAAAGGATGTGGGAGCAGGGCCGGGCACCGGTGTAGGAATCACAGGAAGTCAAGGGAACCTGGGCATGGTTCTAACTATGACCAGCCTTTCAGAGCAGAGCTTTCTAAACAGTCTTTGCAGCCCTTTTTGTTTATTTGGCAGAGCTCGGTGTCTGCTTCTCTTGGGCAGAGACAAGGTCTGAGTGCATCTTCCTAGCTCCTTTTTTTTTTTGGGGGGGGGAGGCAGAGGTGGGAGTGGGGAAGCACAACGATGCTAATGTGATCATAAGGGTTGATGATAAATGTGAGAATGGCCCTGTGGAGATTCCCAGGGCCACAGGGCAGTTGATGGTGCTTTGCTTGGATGGATGATACGGTAGGAAAGCTGTGGCAACCAGATAGGTGAGGCCGTAGGCCTAGGTCGGGGTGGCCATGTGGTTCAGGGCAAGGAATGGGATCCTGAATGCTAATGTCACACAAGGATGTGGGATCTGGGGTGCCCACAGAGAGACGGGGGGGATCCTGGTGTGGTGACAGAGCGGCCTTGAAGGTCATGGAGCAGCTTGCCAACAGGGCACCTGCCTGCAGCTCATCACCTAACGCTGGTCTTTGGCCCTTGCCTAGGTGGTCTGGGCAAGCACACAGCGCGTTGGCTGCGGGGTGAAGTTTTGTGCAAAGATTGACGGGATTGAAACGGAGGACATGTACCTGCTTGTTTGCAACTATTACCCACCGTAAGTTCTTTGTTTCACGTTGCTTGGTGCCATCTTGACTGGGTTTCTTTGCCCGAAATGTCCCTGTAACACAACAGGAAAAGCGTTTGGCTTTGCTCATAAATAGCAGCAAACCCACTCCCAGAGGGACCTTTGTTATTTTAGGCCGGTCACAAAGGAAGGAAGGGTTGTCTGGTGATCCTTGCCCACGATCGCAGTTCCTGAATCCCGGTTCAACTCCTGGCACAGACCTAGAGAGGGAACTCCCCTCCGGAGAGCGGCCCGCGCTGGGGCCGTAGTGACGGAGGGCAGAAAATGGCAGCGCTCTTCTCCAGCCCTGCCAGGAGCCACCTTGGGGCAGGCTGGGACGAGTGTTCCCAGCTATGCCCAAGGGACACAGGTTGGAGCAGGGACGACCGCTCACGTGCTACAGGAGGGCAATCCCCCAGGGATAACTTCACCAAAGCCATCCTAGGAGTCTGCCGTTGCAGATGTTCCTGAGGGGGTTCTGTAGAAGGGAGACACAAATCACTGTCCCAAATGCCCATGGATTGCCCTTTTCTGGGTTAAAGACCTGGTTCACCTTCTGCTGAAGCTCATGGAGCTGATTTCGGTGGGCTTGGGGAGTCAGGCCACTGAGCAAATGGTGTTGGAAGTCAACGCGGCAGGGGACCAAAACCTGATCTTTGTATTAACTTCGAGTTTCATCCTGGTGGGGATGTTTCCGTCCAACCCAACACTCTCTGTGGGTGGGTGTTTTCCCTCTCACAACTCTGTGTTGGCTCTTTCTGCTTCCAGGGGTAACATGAAAGGCCGAAAGCCGTACAAGGAAGGAGCCTCGTGTTCCCAGTGCCCAGAGGGGACCTTGTGTGTCGACGCCTTGTGTGGTAAGTGGCGTGAATCCCTAGAAAAGCTATTGGGACTGATACCCTCAGGTTGGGTCCAAGATCTGAACCAACCAGGAGCCACCAGAAAGTCCTGGGATCCAGGGACATGCAATGGCAGCCCTGAGACAGGTCAGCTGCCACAGGACAAAGACCTTGTAGCCCCCTAGCCAAATACTGTTGGCCCTGGAGACTGCTCCATCCCTAAGGGACAGGTCTGTGGAGTTCTGCAGCATGTTGTGTGAGAGCCATGAGACATCTCTAGCTTGGGAGTCATCCCAGACAGACCTGAGAGAGGGGTCAGCTACTGCTTCTCCTTGTGGAGGATTTTTGTGGACCCCACTCAGTGGTGGGGGGATTCAGCGGAGCTCAGCTGACTAGTGCTAACCCGTGGCACTTTCCATCTCTTACCTACAGAACCCACTGTAGAAGAAAC